GTTCATAGTGATTGGAAGTGGGCGAGGGTGGTGGGGCGGAGAAGGGAAGGGGGACGTAAATATAAATAAAAAACGGCAAATACTCTGATTTTGCCCACTTCATGTCTTTCCGTCTTCTTCGTGAAATTCGTGCAAAATTTCATCAAAATTTGTCAGAAGATCCGTCCAAAAGGGATCCTTCTACTACATCTTCCGTTGTGACCTTGCAATGTAAGTGTTATTGGTGGTCGTAACTGTAAATAGAGTTAGTTTATTTTTGCAAAATCGACGCTATTTTCACGTCAGATTAGCATTTCTAGAACTTACATATAAGAAAAAAATTATGCTGCCAAGCTGATTTTGAGCTATTATATTAATCCTACCAGGATCTTTGCTGGCCAGCTCCATGCGTCACACTCCTAATAAGGGGACCACTTTTAATTCCACCTCTACGCTTGCCATCAAATTCTCGCTTGTTTGGAGGCGTCTCGAGAACGGCAGTTTCAGGACAGATTAGGGCGGGTGGGAATGCCAATTGGTCGGGGTGGATGAGAATGTCAGCTGGTCCTAACCAAAAGCTATAAATTGACCATGATGGTGAGAGTGGCTTTGGGGTGGTTGAAAGCGTGTTGGGATCCCCTTAAGAGGGCATTGTCGTAAAAAATTCCAAATCGGCACGACCAACGTTTGACCCTGCTCCGCACAGGGTTAAGTCAACTAGAGCTTAAGATAGTACTACTACGGCTCTCAAAATCTTATCGACTTGTACTACTTCGCAAAAGCAAGAGTTAAATGCAGTGTGTTTTATTTTGATGCCATGGGAACAGGCAATTATAAAACACTTCTGAAAGTAATTGGAAAATCTTCGTACTTGAGTTCATCCACTTCAGATCGGTGCAACAGAATCAATTCGGACGTCAACCTACCCCTGCTGCACCACCACGTGTCGTTCCTACGCCACCACCAAGGTTAGTAATTTGAAAATTTTCCACTAAAAACATTTCAGAAATAAAAACGATTGTCAAGAATAACATGAAAGTTCGATTTCAACGCCATAACTATAAATTCAAATAAATAGTTTAAATTTCAATAATGTACTACTCGTAAAATGTAATAGTTACTTAATAAGAATTATAAGAATTTAGCGGAATTATAGCGTCGGAATTATATCTCACGACAATGCGAAAGAAAAATAGAGATGAAGCTCGTCATTTCCTGAGTAGGTGTAGAATTGCTGGCGCCAGGAAGAAAGAGAGAAAAGAAAAAAGAAAAAAAACGAAAATGTCCGAGCCATATTTTCTGAACAAACCTTGGTATACATTTACTTAGTGCTACAGATCTACAGATGCTATACAGTACCCCTAGTTTGTAGAGCTTCCCTTCGCCCCTCCCCTTCCCCTCGCACTTCAAAAATCACATTGGCACACATTTTGGAATTCAAGCGCTTATGAAAAAACGGATCTCACCGAACATTTTGTTCAACGATTTATTAAGAAGACTGTTTTGAAAAGCGCTAGACGTCTTCATTGATCTCTCGGGGCTCTGAGAGTTGCAGCCAGCTCTCCTCGCAAGGTTGGAGGTGGAAAGCAATAGAAACTCGACAATCTCATAAAATTAATTCTGGTACCGATGCCGTAAAAAACAGCTTCTTATGGGTTCTGAGGATCTTTGAAGCACTATCGCCAAACTTTTATTTATTGTGTATTAATTTCAGGCAACCCCTGCCTGTTCAACCTCAAGTTGCACCTCAACCTCAACCGCATCTGCCTCAACAACCTCAACCACTTCGGCCGAGAACCAGGTACAGCAAGCTTTGGACAGAAACAAATCTGCCTCGCTTTTATCGACATCATCTCATGTCTGCTTATTCCATTCAGGCGCCCACCTATTCGACCTCCTACACCTGCACCATTCCAACCTCAACAGCAAAACTTCAACGTCCAACAGTCGCTTCAAACACCACCGCCACAAGTTCAGCAGCCTTTCCAAAATCGACAGCCCCCATTCGTCCCACAACAACCTCAATTCCAAACTCAACGACCACAGCAGTTCCCACAACAGTTCCAAACACCTCCACCGACTACACCTGCACCCCAATTGCCATTTGCAAGCCAACAAAATCTGCGAACTGGAGGTACGTCAGTGCGCACAGCCATCAAAGTTCTACGAAATGCTCAAGAAGTAGTAGCAGTAAGCTCACACGAATCCGCTAGAAAGGCTTCTATTTCTAAACTTCTAATCTAAGGGGATTGCCTAAGTCTTCAGATTTTCAATAAAGAAATTTGGGGACCAACCTGTTGGTGAAGTTCGGCCATACCTGGATAGAAGCTCTCATAAATCATATCAGTGAGCTCGAGAGAGGCTATCCCTGTATAGCACCTTCCGCTTCAGATGCGGTTTCTGTGGTCTAGCTCTCCCGAAGTTCTGAGA